AGGAATTTCTAATGGGAGAACTGGGGATGTTTTTTCCTCATGGCAAGAGTCTCAAAGTCTGGAGTTATAGTGGACAAGGCCAGTCTGAGGTCATGCTCAATGTCCAGTCTATTCCTGTGTTTAGTCTTCAGCTGAACCAGAGCTGAGAAGCCACTCACAGAGATAGGTAGTGCTGAAGGGTAGCAGGACTTTTACTGCTCGAGTGGCGAGGGAAGGATTCTCGCTGATCACGCTGCTGCACCAGAACTGGGAGAGGGTTACCTCCGCATACGGTCACATGGCCGCTCCATCCTCTGACTCTCCGTTGCTTGGAGAGTCAGAGAAATGTGACACTTTCTATGTCGATTCCAAACGGGTCACGTATCTAGTCGTCATCCCTCGGTTTCTCGGGAAAGTAGTCATTAAACTGCTCCAGAAGTTTATTCAGATGCGTGATTTTCTCCATTACATTCTTGTACCGAAACATTTATTATTATTAGTTTTTCATACTGAAACATTTTGACAGAGCGCCGTGTACAACCAGTGTGGATCAACCAATTGATCCATATATAAGGTGCTCCGGATTATAAGACGCACTGTTGTTTTTTGAGAAAATTGAAGGCTTTTAAGTGCGCCTTATAGTGCGGAAAATACGGTGTACATGCACTTGTGCTATCCATCTAGTTTTATGCTGTGAGTCTTCACTGCTTTTAGGATGAATTCACAAACCCATCACTTTTTTTTTTTTTTACAGTACAGAGTTGATTTTACCGTTGACAGATGTCCTTCGTGAATTGGCACATCTGCATTTAGTGGATAACACACTAGGAGTTCAGGGAAATGACCTCAGTCCCATTGTGTCTGTAATGTTTTTGTGTGTTTATCTGCTTTCTGCCCCTGCAGCTGAGCCTCCTCTCAGTGCTCCGTGGGGTGCTCCACACAGCTGTGGGCAGGGATTACCCGAGAGAACTTTAGTCAATGCCAAAATTCTGAAAAACATCAGTGCTATTTTTCCTACAGTACTGCAGGTACCATGGTTACCAGGAATCAAGGCTCACAGCGTTGTCCTGGGATGATAGAAATGAAAGTTTCCCTGACGTACTGTGAAATAACAACAAATTGTGTGTCTAGCACAGTCCTAATGGCTTTATAATGCAGCTAACTGCTACCGTACAGAGGTTGTATTGACGTAGCTTTATAGACCCATGTGGATGGGTCACTGTGACTATTGGCTTGTTGACTGCCGTTTAAATCATTTTTGCATTTTGGCCAGCGGCTTCTCATCGTCGTTGAGTACCACTTAACGAGGACCAAGACATTTTTACAATTGACTTTAATGAACTTAAAGCACAATATGAAAGGGTCAAAGCTGCAAGTCAAAAACAAGAACTGCTCTCCCTGAACCATGCCGACCTGTCAATCACACGGTAGCCACGCCCCAAAACATTCTCTTTATTACACATTCTACCCTAAATGGGACCATAATGTAAAATGAACATGAACACTGTAACGAAAATGACTTGAAACCAGCCATCAAAATAATAATAATAATATAATTCATCGTTTTAATGTTTGATAGTGAATAAACTGAGAAGTGGAGTCATGTTCTCAGAGAACATGTCACAGATTCACAAGTTTAAGACGCTTTGGCTTCGGAATTGGCTTCCGACCCCTTAAAGGTTGAAGCTCCCTTCAGTGAGACTGGAGGTAAATTATTCTGTCGTCATCATGTGTTCAAATGTATTCTGCTTAAATGTTGTTTTTGGCAAGAAACGGAGATTAATAACAAACAAAAACCAGCATGCATATTGTAACAAAGGGATGTATGTGGAAGAATATGGATTTGATTTAATTTTTACTTTTCCCCCCAAGGTATCAAATTTGGACAAGAATGGTTTAATTAATCGGAATTTACTATCTTGACAACCCTACCTTTTGGTAGATAAACAACCAAACAGAATACACACTTTCTTATTTTGAAACAAACATTAATAAAATGTCAGACCCGGCAATTGCATCAAAACAAGCCAATAAAAGCTATATTTTTCAATGGTATTAGCGAAACGAGTGTTTTGTTTGTTTCAGATGAGAGCAGGGTACTTACTTTCCCGACCCTGCTCCCCACCCCCCCTCTATTCACGCTCTTCTTTCTCTCCTCCTGCCTCATCTTGCATCTCGTTGAGTCGCTCAGTCTCGGTGTCTCCTTCTACTCCTCTTTGCGCACATTGTTAGTCACCCTTAAATCCCATTTGCGTCCCGCCTCTCACCTGCCTCCACTTCACAGCCACTTTCCCCTCTTTATTCCCCTCTCAGGATGGCCCTCTTCATTGACTGGCCGTCCTGCCAGGTCCTTTTTCCACGTCTTTCTTTTTTACAGATCCTCGCTCCCGCTCTTTCTTTTGTCCATCTTTGCAGCCATACTTATTTGATGCATGCACCTGCTCCCATAACCCTTTCTCTTCATCTCCATAGGGAGCAGTGTGATTGAAATTTGTTATGTATGACCCTGTGTATATTGTTACACTGACCCCAGGTGTTGCCACCAATGTCCCGCTCTCTCTTGTATGATTTGGTTGCGGGGTGAAGGTAGGGTGCAGGCAAGTACACAACCGCACACACGCACGCACACACACACACACACACACACACACACACACACACACTTGTCATTTTTTTCAAAGAATGTGCAAACGTGCAGCTCAACACACACACACGTCAAGTCATTTTCCTCTTGGGTACAGTAGGTTCAACTGTTTAAAGTGGTGGAAACCCTGATATTCCTTATTGCAAAGACTTGGACACACATACCAAAAAACAATTTATTTGGAGGTCATGTGTTGTGGTCAAATGTAATATATGTCTTTATATTGGATGAAATATTAAACAGGCTTTTCATCTGTGGGCTGCAGACTGAGTGAAATAGTGTCATTATTTTGTGTGTGTGTGTCAGAGAAATAGCTGTTTGTAGGTATAGAGGTACAAATAAAAGTAGTGGGAAAAAACTTGGGATACATCTGAAGAACAAATGTCATCAAAAAGAATATTGTTAAGTCATTTTGTCTAACTTTTGTGAAGTTCCTGCAATAGTGGCAATTAAAAAAAAAATTATTGATTAGAAATAAGGGCAGCCGATAAAATCCTCGTCTATTCTGTTGTCTTATTGCCTTGCAAGGAGGTATTTAGAAATGACTATATATATATTCAGTTTTTATATCTTTTATATCTCCTCAAGATAAGACTAGTCAACAGTTCCCTGGGCTGTCATTTTCTGTCCCTTCATATCTATGCAAATCACATGCAAATGTCACTTTCAAAATCTCTCCCAATAAGAGTTTCTTGTGGCCCACAAATGAATAACCTAACATTCTGTGAAAGTGAACTAGGTATCTGCAAACATGAATGTGGGGAAAATATCATTGTCCATCACACTATTTCCCCCTCACACCATCAATATTTCCTCTGTAGTCACTCTGTCCTGTTGGGTATTAGTTTTATGGCTTGTTAAAAGAAACACACTCCGTGCCTTGTGTTTGGGGTCAGATTTCCCTCTTTGCGTTGCCATCATCATCATGCAAGGAGGGTCGTGCACCACAAGGCAGCTGTGGCCCCCGGGGTCCTGACCGCAGCACCCAAGACCCCAAAATACAGTCAAAACACCACCATTTAGTCAGAGGGCTGTCTGAATTATTCCTGTCTTGTTAAAAAAAGAAGAAAAAAAAACAAGGGTAGTAAATCCCCAAACCCAAAGCAGGGTTAAAGTTTGGAGTTGTTGACTGGCTTCTGTCACATTGTCGTGCTGTTTGGACTTGCGATTATGCCTCTAAAAGCTTTCTCTGAATGAGGAGCAGCTGCTGCCTGGATTCATTTCAATTCATTGGAATGGCTTTGACCACCCAGTTCACAGGCGGCAGTTGTTATAACGGGGGCGGCGGCGTAGGGTTGCCACTGATGTCAAGGTTCTTCTTTATATCTGCTTTGATAAAGTTTGATAACGGGAAACGTTTATTCGCTGAATGTGGCCGGACGTTTTTACTTGTGTGAATCCGCTTTGCCTGATTCTTTTAAAGCTACATAAAATGAGGCACGGGCCTAAGAAGGCCATGGTCGCCTTGCTTCAAAAATAAGGGTGTCTTGTGTGTGTGCATGAGTCACTTGAGAGTGAGACATTTATAAGGAGTTTACCTCGAGCAGCGTGTTGTGCGGCTAATAACCCCCCCCGTCCCGAGACCTGCTGTGGGGGATACAGATGTGTGGGTGTTAGTAAAGTTAACTAATGCAGCAAATACAGTGTGAGCGGGGTTGTGTGTATGCTTGACTGCAGCGGGCAAGTGGATTCCAAGTGAAATATCTGGTTCAGTGTGGCGTGAAGGAGCCGGCTTCCAGCTCCACACCGCCGCCGCCGTGTCCCCCCCCCGCGATCATGTGCGTGCCTGTGTGACGGCTCTCCCAGTGGTGCCATGCGAAGCCTGCCACCAGCGTCTTGTTCAGCAGCCGAGCTTAACGTCACAAAGAGCACTGCACTCGTGTGTGTGTGTGTGTGTGTGTGTGTGTGTTAACTAAACATTCACTTAATAGACATTTTCATTTTGAGTAACTTCTTTTTTTTGTCCAGCAACAATTAGTTGAGTGTTCTTTGGTCTGGACGCCCAAGGGCAGGTCATTGGAAATGCAAAGACACTGAGATGCAGATGAAGTCTCTGGAAAGGCTTCCTAGTGGGCTTTTTGAGGCAAATATTTCTTCTATCACATATTGGTTTCAAGATCAAGTAATAAACCTTTTTTGGAATATTATGACTGCGTCTGACCATGGCAGTGGAGATGCTGATAGGCTGTAAAGAGAAGAGGGTTAGAATTACTGATTCACCTGAGGTAATTCGGATACGACCGAACAACTGTGCCATTCAGTAGTTTTACTCTTCAAGGAATCTTTTTTCACTTTATGGGTGTTCTTCATTAGCTCCTGCTTGTGCGGTGGGTGTGTAAATATGAACTCTTCTCTCTCTCTCTCTCTCTCTCTGTAGATGACCCATCAGACGCAGACCTCTGGGTGCTCAACAGCTGCACAGTGAAGAATCCTGCTGAGGACCACTTCAGAAACTCTATCAAGTACTGACCAACACTGCATGTTCAAACCCTTTGCCTCCCATGTTCTACGTTAGGTCTTTCATGAAGATAAACCAGGCGATTTCAGAACGCATTACGGTAGTTAGTTCATCATCATACTTTGATTGGCTGCTGGATACAATTTAGAGGAGACAAAAAACACATGTTATATCAAATGCATTTAATGACTAATGAAGGTCTATGCAAGGGAAGAGGACAGTGAGCAGGATTCTGTGCGTATTCTCCTCAGCACCTGTCGACCTGCAGCTCTGCAAAGGTTTTCAGTGATGTGATGATCTGGTCAGAATATAGACCAATAAGTCTTGGAATTTTTTTTTGTCATTTCAACAGTTATTTCTGGTTTTCTTCATAACACAGCCAGTGTAGCCCAAAGAACGGATGATGCTCGTTGTCCGTTTCATTCAAATGTTGCTACACAGCACACACTCTTCCTGCGTGTGTGTTTCATTTATTCAGCTTGTTACTCGATGTCAGTTTCCACCTACTCACTGTTCCACGGCGCTCTCTCCTCACCGGTGAAGCACGCGTACACCCAGAGTGAGGGAAAGAGGCATTTGCATAAACACAGAGAAATTAAGCTACAAACTGTTTTGCATTTTGATTACTTTACTTTCCGTCGGGGGCGCAGCCACACCTGGCAGTGGTGTGCTTTGCAGTTAGTGAGACAGAGCTGAGTCACTCAGTGACTGCTGGTAGAAATCTGAATGCTGCCATTGCAAACTGGTTTTATAATCAAGTAATAATAAGTGTAACCTTTTGTATGATCGGATACAGTTTCAAGCCTTCCACTTCTGTCTGAGGTGGGAAAGCAGACGTTGGTTTCCTTTTCTGTTTTTAATTAACATTGGTTAGTCATGTGTAATCCAGGTAATCTACTTGAGCCTGTCTTTAGGGACCATTAGAGAAACTGCTTGTTAAAACACATCTGCACTGGCTACTGTTGCTCCAGCACAACACAGCGTAAATTACTTACATCGTTAATAATCATGACCATCAGCCCGATCTTCCTGTCTCCTCGTGCTCACTTTTCTCCCTCACCCTTTCAGTCATGCAGACAAAAAAATAAATTAAATGCACAAAATTAAAGACTTCAGGATGCCAGATTTTTTTACGCACACACACGAGGAATTGGGAGAAGTTTTCTTTCTTCCTTTCATCACTTCCTGCTTGCATGATGGAGGCAGCAAATAAAGAGGATTAAAGAAAAATCCAAATGCCCATTTCCAGTTATTTTTCTTTTGCTGCTCTTCATATGATCGACAGACTGAAAAGGAGGCAGGCACCCGGGCTGCCTCGCGCTCAGTCACACGCTGGCCGTTGTGCCTGTACCTCCTGGTACCACACACACACACACACACACATTGACACTTGCATGGATGTAGCCTCAGATCTAGTGGTGCTATAAATGTTTACATGTATTCAATAATTATTTTAAATGAACATCAGATATGTCTTTGTCCCTTTGAGGTGGTACGAGTTTGTTTACTCTTTAAACTCTTTACTGATAGTCTGCCGTCGATAAAGATCACATTTTATTTTGGATCGGACTACTGCGTGAAGAGGCTAATTCCTAGAAAGAAGTCTACTTGCCCCAGGCGAGCGCTGATGTCGAGCCCTGGTGTGTAAAACAAATGTTCTCCCGGGACAGTGTTACATGGAGCATCATGTACAACCAGCACACGCACACAATTGGCTTACTGATAAATGGGTTGAGGGATCTAAAATGGAAGCAAAGGGGCTTTCAGCCGTCTTCATTTGTGGTTTGTGAGCGGTGCGGTGAAAAGACGGTCCTGGAGAACTGCGGCTCGGTTGGCAACCACGCCGAATATGTTGGATAAGAGTTTGTGTGTGTAGAGGGTTTGTCAGGTGAAGCTTGAGGGAGAGTGTGCACACGCGGCTGTATAGGATTACCCTGAGAGAAGGGAAGCAGATATGCATATGGAGTGCAGATGTTTGCATTGAAAAAACCAGCAGTATTGATTTGGTCTTGGAGCGAAGGTTTTCCTATAACTATGGTTACTTTTGACTCCACAGCACGTGTGTGTGTGTGTGTGTGGGTTCGCTTTTTTTCTTTATGCAAGCAGAACTTCTGCACCTTTTGATTTTTGCATTGGTAAAGGTTTAATCTGCAGTTAAGTTTGGTTTTGTTGTGGTAATCTGAAGTCCAGTGCATTCATTTCTTTACCTTCTAATACCGGCGTTCTGCTCCAACTGTTGCCCCGAGCATTTTGGAGCGAAGCTGGTCTGTATCATTTGTTTAGCACGCAGGGGCAGTTGGCAGTTGACATGGGATCAACAAGACGGGATCAGACCGATAGCATCTCTGCCCCGCCGCTCACTCCTTCAGTATGGATGCACTCAGTAGCAGAAACTGCTAATAGAGCAGCTTCAGAATGCTAAAAAGGCAATTAGTATGGGTATTTGGGTGTGCATGTGCGTTCGTTTGAAATGCCAAAATCTATAGCGTAATTCAATGTCAGAGACCTTTCAAATCAATGAACGCAGAATGCATTAAAGAAACGGTTGCTCAACAGCATGTAATTAAGCTGCTCTGTGGGTGTATTTGTGTGTTGTGTGGGTTTGTGTGTTTGGGCTTCTCCACATGGCTGTCCCTAGTCATTTCCACGATCAAGGGAATGTATGCTTAACGAATTAGAACCCAACTCAGAGTTGTGTACTTCTGTTTTGAAAATACGGCAATTCCCATGTTATATTTACATTAATTTCAATATCATTTTGATATTCATGAACCAAGCCTTATAAAGAAAAATCATTATGTTGTTAATTGAAAAGGGACACGCAACACAAAGAATGAACTCTTGGAATAATTCCAAAGTGTATATGCCGGGCTGGTGCTGTGTATTTATAATGGATCTGTAGGCTGGGCGCTGAATAAATATTATGGCTCTCGGCAACAGGGCAGTCTATTGTTGGCTCAATGTTGTCTTGGCAGAAGCTGTTTAACAAATTTAGTGCCATTGATTGATGACCACATGCTGCCAAAAGTGTTCCATGGGTACACGGAGGGTATCGGCTTACTTATTGTTGCACAAGATAAAGCTGAAGTGGGAAAATTAGATATTTAGTCTTTGGTATGGTTGTCTGTCATTTCAAAAGTTCACATCTCTTTGAAAAGCCTTGAATCAGATGCACAGAAACGCTGATCTTAAGACATGGTTCTCAGATGAACAGTTTTCTCATTTAAATGCCATGTATTCCTAATGGTTCTGCATCATAGCCCATGGCTGCATGTGTTATCAGTAAGATGTCTACCGACGTTGGGCACGTTACTTTAGTTCATTGATTTCTGAGCACACGTTTACTGGAGGCAAAGGTCATGTTTGGCAAACAAAATCATTTAAGTTGACGTCCAACTAAACCAAATGTATACACGCGACTGTTGTTTCCACCTGTGTCTGAACTCATTAATGTCTGCCGAGAGCTGACGCTGCAAATGAGGAAAACCTGAGCGGCTCCATCAATAATGGATAAGAAAACTCTGTGTGTGCGTGTTCGTGTTCTTCCGGTCACAAGTCCTACTTCGCTATGTGTTTGACTGACGTTTTATTTTTTTCGTTACACTGCTTCTAATGAGTGGAGACGTTGCACCATGCTGTGTTTTTATATGAACCAACACACCAAAGGTGTCTGACATTAAGCCCAGAAATGTTTCCTTTCCGCCGTGGACGGCACTGCAAGATATAAACTATTTGAAATCGGCAGTGACCTTTTTAGAGTTGTTCACTAAGGGCAGTTGTTTCATGTCTATGCTCGCCGAGTCCGGCAGGCTCACAGGGGTGGATTTGTGGATGGCTGCATGCGCGCGCGCACACACACACACACACACACACACACACACACACTGAGCTCGCTGCCTGGGGCTGCTCTCTGTACAACCCAGGGATTGGCATTTCATCCGTCAGTTCCGCAGGGCTTTAGCCTACATTTTGGGTTGCGCACAGACACACAGATATTCCGAGGGGGGGCGGCAGGCTGACACCGAGGGGAAAGGGACACACGGGCCGAGAGGGGAAGGGAAGAGAGCGTAGCCGAGCGCATGTGCCGAGAACCGAACCAAGTGAGTGGATGAAATGGCGTGCGCGCAGATTAAACAGCCAGTTTCAAGCTGCTTCCCCCCTTCCTCTCTGGTTAGGTGAAATCTGTTAGGGTGTGATGTGATTCCGTATTTGACTGGCAGTGACTGGTCAAAGCAGGCAGTCTTTTACATCAGATATCTGCTGTGTTCCTGACGTTCCTCCGCAGCTACAGTCGGACCCAATTTAGTTTGAGGACATTTTAATCTTGCTTATCGGAAAAGGTGAGAGATAAAGCTGCATCAGTAGGGATGAATGTAATGTGATGAAAGGCTAATGAAGTTTAAATCCCTTTTCCTAATGGACTCGAACTCTTATCAACGTCATCGGCATCGGCTTTGAAAGGCCAGGAATTATCACCCCTAGGACGAAACGTCAGTAGTAGCATGGGGCAATACAGTTTTCATCATTTTAAAAGGTCTTATGTCAATTAATGATTTGGGTTAAAAGCTAGTGTATCTCTGTGACAAGGCGTCCTTTTCTGAAATGTTCCCATCTACAATGTATAACTGATAAATGCACTGTGAGACATCCTAAGATTTCTCCTCAAATCAAGAGCTCAGCCCTGCAGCCAAACAGGCCGATATTCTTCGGTGCCCTTATTTTTTTCCTGTTAGTTTAGGGATGCGTCCACATGAGTGGTCCCATAAAAGGCCGCGTAATCACTTCCTGTCTTATAGCTGCTGTCCTTTCAAAATATCCTCCTTAACAGCAATCACAAACAACTCTGCTGAGCTCTTAAGGCATCCCACCGGGCCCCAGCCTCGTCCCTGATCCCCGATTGTGGACTTAAGCCAAAGGAGGCCAAGTTAATAAAGGATTGAAGATAATGGGCCACCCACCTATTACTCATGTAGGTTGCAAGTAACTACGTTTCCATAGTTGAAT